CCCTTCCCTCCCCAATGAATATTCTGCCCATTCATTTTTACACCCTATGTAGCTAACTTGCCAAAGAAACTCAGGGCAGCCGCTCACCTGAGCCTGCCTGCTCTCCCCTGAGAGTGTACTATCCATCCTTTAGTAAATCCTCACTTTACCTTTTTTAACCTCTAAGTCTTGTCTCTAAATTCTTTCTGGGATGGGACAAGAACCTGGAACACCGGTTGCATCTATCGGCAACAGTATCAGATCATGAGAGTGTTGAGGGTCTTCCTCCAACTGAAATGAAGTTGGGGTGAAGGAGAAAATGTCCTGAGAAATCTCACCTCATAACAGAAATAGAAATGTGTCACAGAAATGGAAATAAATGCTTCTCAGTGATTTCACCAGAGCTCCCATACCTAATTGGGTACTGGGGCATTTTAAACAAGAAACACAAAGGCAACTTGGAGATTAAGAGAGTTGAGATTTACAAATAGAAAAGTTACCACCATGGCCAATTTCTCAAGTTTGCAAGACCGTCATTTTTCAGATGCCATTTTTTTTAGACACTGTGCTTTGAGATAGAGTCACAGACATTTTTACACACAAGATTTTATTCTTTCACATAAAAGCCACGTGTAAGAAGGCAATCTAGGGCAGGTAGCAGGTATGGAGGCTCCAAACATGCATCAGTTTTGTTCAGAATTTCCAGCTCTGTTCATTCTCCTTGTCAGATGATAAACTCTGCCTTCATGGACCAGGATTGAAACTGGAGTTCCAGGCATGGCATTGGCATTCTAGGCCAATCTTGAAGGAAAGATTGGAAGGGCACACTCTCTCCTTTAGAGAAACATCTTACTCATCATAATGTAGTCATATGGACATAATCGTCAGCAAAGGAAGCCAAAAAATGCAGACTTTCAACTTGCTGGCTCTGGATACAGCTGAATAATATTCAGTCTTTGTGTTGGGTTTCTCTTAACAAGGAAGTAATGGAAAATAGATATGTTAGTAGAAACTAGAAGTCTCCACCACAGATATTAATTAGAAGTTATGAAATTTTATTTGCATTATTTTTGATTTTCTTCTTTTGGTGGTTGGGAATGATGGAAATGATATTTATTTCAAAAAATTTAACCAACCATGATCTTTATAGTAGCCTAAGAATCATAACAAATGTATGTAAGTAAAGAAACATGAGCTCTCCAAATGGGGCGTATCACAGACCCACATGTTGCTTGATGGAGCACAAATCTTTCACTTCAAATAACAATTTAATCTTATCATGTTTATAAAACAAAAACAATCCGTAGGGCATATGCTGTGTAAGATAACTGAAATGCATTACCAGATCACAGATAAGAAGGTATTAGTTTTAGCTTTCTAGTCCATGTAAACATTGAGATAAAAAGAAGACATTTGCATATCTTTCCACCCTGTGTAAAGATACACATATCCTTCAGACATTTGTTTTGAAGTGACCATCTTGCACAGATCTATTCCAAATTTTATCATGCTGCACAATAGAATAAGCAGAGTTTGAATTTGATAGTAAATGCTTGGTAAGCAAGTCTTCAAAACGTTATCTTTCAATGTATATCCCTTTCTTTGTGGGAGAAAATGTGTTCATTGCTAAACATAAAGTACATGAAAGGAATCAGTTAACCATGTATTTGTGTACACTTTGAACCATGATGTGATATCTACCATAAATATTTCATTAGACAGCATTTGTTTCACCTCTCGCCAGGGTTCATTCAAGCCATATTCTCCTAGCTGTTCTCTCTGCCCAAAATGATGGGATATCAGTTTGCCAAGCTTCTTTTACCTTCTTTAAATCTTTGCTCGAATTTTACCTTTTAAGTTTGACCAATCAAGTCCAGATTTCATTTGCCCACTCCCTATCTCCCTTTCTCTGCTCTAAATATTTTTCTTTTTTGTCTCATTTATCATCTCCTAGTATGTCAGATATTTACTTATTTATTATTTTAAATGATTATTGTATATTTACCCTTAAATGTAAATACCCACGAGAATGCAGATCTTGGTCTTTCCTTCTCTGGTATAAACCAAAGACCTAGAAGGACACAAATCAGGTGTTCAATAAATATTTGTCAGCGGAATAAATGGTGTAGATCTTTGCTTGCTGGACAGAGTTTCAATTTGTTATGGGGTCATAAGAAACCTTCATTGCGTGATTATTCTTGAATGCTCCGTATGCATCTGCCTCCAAACTTTCACAACAATTCTGTGTCTCATCCACAAATCCATACAATGGAAACACAATTTCTCACACTTGCTCCAGGCAGACTGATGATGGTTTGAGAATGTTTCTTTTAACATAGAAGTTGGGCTACAAAGTTAGCCATCATTTAGACCTGGTGCCCCATTAATCAATGAATAAAATTCTACTTATGTTTAAGTTTCACATCCTCTGTGAAGATTTATATTTTCTTATATTCACTGAAAGTGTCTGGTGGTTTCTCTTTTAGGCTTTGTGCTTCTTCTAGTTTTGTATTTTTTATATTACATTGCTGTTTATTTACTTTTGTGTCTCCACAGCTAGACTATGAGTCCTTTGAAGACAGGGATTATCATATTATTTTAGTATTCCCTGTATCAAGTAGAGAGCCTGACACACAGAAACTATCCTTTAAACATTTATACAATGTATGAAAGATGCATTCAGGTGAACTCTTCCTTCCTCTCATATAAAAATATCTGAGAATTTTAAAATATAAGTTTCCAATATTACTGTTACCCACAATGGTGTCTTTAATACTTTATATTATTTTTCTATTTCCCTTTAATACACCTTAAAAACTAAAATTTTCTTTTTTTTCATGATATCAGTTTAAATGATGACCATTATCTCCAAGTTCAATAGCCTCCATCCTTCCCATTTGTGAAACAGACAACCCACGCAAAACCAGGGATATAAATAACATGTGAATAACCTCCGGGCTGATGTTTTATAAACCTTAGTTTCTTTTTTATTCTTATATCATCAATATATATAGCAAAAATATGGTTCTTACCATAGTCAAGTGGAGAGAGGAGTTGCTTGAAATTATGTACAGAACAGGGCCTGATGTAGTTCACTGATCTGATATAGGGCAGTTTGAATGAGAAAAAGTATATTTCCTATTTGGTGCATATGACAAGAAAACTTCTAGAAATCACAATAAGTGGAAATATATTTTGAAATCTAGGAAATATTTTTAAATGGAACTAAATTTACGTGATAATAATGACTAAAATATTGAGGCTCTATTTTGTAAGCAGCTGAAAGAAGTAAAGGAATTAGCTCCTGTATCATACATATCATTACTGTACTTACCTGTATCTGTAAACATCTCCCCATTTATTCATATTCTAAGTTACTTGAAGACAGTGATGCTACAACTATAATCTCTTAAATTCCATCTATCCTATCTTGATGAATTGAGGTAAATCTAATAATAATCTTAAACTAGTTTATTAATCACACACACAAAAAGAAATTAAAATTTCAACTGAATATAATATAAAGTTAATGTTCAGTATTTGTTATTATTTAGTTCATGCTTTTCTGTATCTATGGAAATATAGTACACTTTCTTTGCTTATTATTATAATGTATGTTAAATGAATAATTCTGATCAGATAAGTACAGTAATATCATAGGTACTAATATTTGAATCTCTGCATTAAAAAAAGATCAAGTACATAGCAA